CTCCTCCTCCTCCTCCTCCTCAAAGAGGCCCGCCCGCTCGCCTCGCACGCCATCCGCAGACGGTCTTCCACCAGCTGGCCCTCGGACCTGGCCGCCGGGGGCTCACCGCGCGGCCACGAATCTTCCGGGAATCGGCAGAAGGAATCCTCGGGGATCCTTAGGAGACCCCTTATGAACCTCCAGGGGCCCGCGGGAACCCTCAGCCCCCCTCCCTCGGAAACTCTCCATGAGCTTGAAGAGTTTCCTCAGGAAATCAGTATGAACCTTTAGGATCCCTCGGAATTCCCAAGGCTTCGCGACCTCTCAGCGGGGGGGCTGCCAAGCGCGTCTTTCCGTGGACAGTCGGACTCGGGTGGGCCCAAGCGGTTCAGCAGCGCGTTCAGCAGCGAGTTCGCTCGGGCGCTCATGGATCTCGCGCGGCGCGCGCAGGCGCGTCGCAGTCGCCGCGAGGCGGAGCGCGACAGCACTCAGCGCGCGCTCCTGCTCGAGAACACCATAAAGCGACTTGGTGATCACTGTCGCCAACATCACCCGTGCAGGCCGCCTTCAGGGCGGCGGCGCCACAGGCGCCAGGTCGGTCCAGAAGACGGAGCGGTTCAGGCATCTTCAAGAATCCTTCAGAAATCTGGCAGGACTGAGCAGGGTATCGGAATACCATACTATTTACCAGGTTTCGCGCCCTACAATCCCTCCAGGGAGGCCCCGCCAGAGCGAGGAGGGCATCGGAATACAGCATGATTTACAAGGTTTCGTGCCCCTTCCATCTTTCCAGGGATGCCCCACCAGAGCGAGCAGTGCATCTGAATACCATGCTATCTCCTAGACCAGTCTGTGCTGTGTTCTGCGAGCTGCCTTATGCGTTCTGGTCTGTGTTTTCGTGGCCCCATAGGGAGCTCCACCCAAGGCCCTATTCTCAACCATCCTGTGGTGTTGGGTCCTCATTTTGAAGAGACAGCGCCCCGCGTTCTCCTTACCTCCTCCTCCTCCTTCCTCCTCATCCTCCTCGCCCTCATCCCTGCCCTCCGCATGTCCACTATTTCGGCGCACCCCTCACGCGTTTCGCCGCCCCATGGGGAGCTCCACCGAAGGCCCCGATGGGAGGGTCCATGTGCATCACCGCGACTCATATCGGCACGCCCCTCGCGCGGTTCGTGGCCCAACAGGGAGCTACACCCCAAGGCCCCAGCGGGAAAGTCCGCACGCGTCCCCACGATTCGTATCGGCACACCCCTCGCACGGTCCGTGGCCCTGTAGGGAGCTGGCTCCACAGGCCCCACTGGGAGAGTCCACTGCCCACTCCCTGCGGCGCGGCCCGCCGCCCGTTCCCTCCTCACTCCCTGCTCCGCGCCCGGCAAAATACGCGGCGGCTTCCTGGGCTGAGCCAGCAGAGCGATCGACGGGATGACCGTCTTCGTTGCTCTGCTGATGCCTCGTTATTTTTTGTGCGTCCACTTCGTGCGTGGTGGGCTGGTTCTTCAGACTCCGATCGAGGGCCGCGCGGCCGCTCGCGGGGAGGCAAGAGGAGCTGTCAAGTCGGAAGAGGCATGCGGCCTTCTGCCTGCTGCGAAGAGAGATCCTGGCGTATGAGGGTACTGGTCAGCTCCGGAACACGGGTTGCACTGTCGACTCTACGAGTGATGCTGCCGACGGCTGAGCTCACGCATGGCTGCTGTCACGACTGCACGAATCATGGCATGCGCCAAAGCTTATTCCTGCAGCACAGCGGTAGGCAACAGAGAAATCACATTTACTCGACGCGGTCTGCCTGTTGTAGCCCGGTCTCCTGCAACACATGCACCAAACACGACAAAACAGAGAGGCTCCAGCCTCGGGGCAGGAGGCGGATAATGAGGAGGACGCGGATGCGGATGGTGGAAGGAAGAATAGGAGAAGACGTGACGAGCAAGCGAACGAGGTCGAGGCGAGACGAACAAGAGCCACAAAACCATTACACGACAACGAACATGCGCGCAGACCAAAGACCTCTTGTACTCCAGCAGCGACCTCATCGTAGCCAGGTCGGCGTCCCTGTGCAAGGCCTCGTGCGCAACTCCACCAGATGCATAGGTCTCTCCTCCTGACCATTTGCCTCGCCTTCTTCTTTTTCTTCTTCTTCCTCCTCCTCCTTCTCCTCCCCCTCCTCCTCCTCCTCCTCCCCCTCCTCCCCTCCTCCCCCTTCTCCCCCTCCTCCCCCTCCGTCTTCTTCCGTTCCTCCCTCTCCTCCTCTCGGGGCCATCTTGTAGGAGATCGATCAAGGAAGGGGAGGAGCAGTAGATTGCAATCTCCCTCCCAGGAGGCCAAAATAGGACCAGCACCTGGGTAAAATCAATGATTGTTGCCTTCTCGCCGAGGCCGTCTTGGACGATCTTACGCTGAAGGGCTGCTGGGATTCTCACACTAGCATGTATACGGGTACGAATATGAATATTGATGCGAATGCGAATGCTTGTGCAGGAGGCCACAGGAGGCCACGTCGCACCATCGATTCGGGATCCGGCGGCGTAATTATTAGTTTTGTAAAGAAGAGCACATATGACCCTGAAAGGTCAGCTGCTCAGAGAAAAAGGGGCTGCTCATCGCGAGCCGTCGAGCCCAGGGCATGCTGCCGACACCTCGGGGGAACCGAGCGACGGCTGCGCGCCCTGGGTCGAGGCCGACCTGCCAAGGCATCCTTCCGGGCATTCCCGCCCCCTGCCTGCCACCTTCTCACCGCAGCCAGCGCCGCCCTGAAGCGAGAGGCCATTCCCGCTGACGGTGTGCAGACGGGCGCCTGACGAGTCGTTAATCTTGCCGTCGCACGGACGTCCATCTCCCGTGCATTCATCGGTTTCGTGCGTGTTTTTTTTGCGCTCGATGGTCCAGGATGGTCCTAGATGGCTCTCGCCGAGAAAGAACGAGGGCACCCAACTTCGCGCTTCGCGCTGCGCGAAGCGCGAAGTGCGAATAACTTCGCGCTCTCGCGCCGCCTCCCAGGGGAGAAGAGGAGGAGGACGAGGAGGAGGAGGAGGAGGCGGAGGAGGAGGAGCCGAACCGCGAAGCGCGAGTAACTTCGCGCCCTCGAGGGCGCCCTTGGAGAGAAAAGGTGCACGTCCGAGCGCTGCCAAGGTCATCAGCCGTGAGCCTGCAGCAGCGCCGGCCGCCGCCGAGGCCCGGCCACGGCGGATGCGCGTGAGCCGGGGCGCTGCCCCTGGGGGCCCGTCGGCCCACGCGGCCGCCCCAGTCCAAGGCTGGGCGGAGGTCGGCTGGGCTGGCTCGAGCGGGTGGGAGCGGACGGAACGCGAAGCGACGAGGCACGCTAAAGTGGGGTCGGGCGTGTCCCCCTACAGGCCGATTTTGGATGAGAAATAGAAGATGCCCCACAAATCTACTAAACATGCTCAAACATGGTCAACAAATAGTCCCCGGAGTATTTTTTAACCTAACAGCGAAGACTGATAGGTTTCTAATGGTCTCAAAAGAAAGCACCATGACTCCGCAGGGGGGTCTGGGCAGGATCGGGGGAGAATCCGCGGATCCGCCAGTGACTATGGGGAACGCACCAATGAGGCTGAGGCTGAGGCCCCCAGCGCCGCCAGTGACTATGGGGAATGCACCACTGAGGCTGATGCTGAGGCCCCCAGCGCCGCCAGTGACTATGGGGAATCCACCGCTGAGGCTGAGGCTGAGGCTGAGGCTGAGGCTGACGCAGGCTGAGGCTGAGGCTGAGGCAGGCTCAAGCTGAGGCTGAGGCTGAGGCTGAGGCTGAGGCTGAGGCAGGCTGAGGCTGATGCAGGCTGAGGCTGAGGCTGAGGCAGGCTGAGGCAGACGCTGAGGCAGGCTGATGCTGAGGCAGGCTGAGGCTGAGGCTGAGGCTGATGCAGGCTGAGGCTGAGGCAGGCTGAGGCTGAGGCCGAGGCTGAAGGCAGACTAAGGCTGCACACGCTGAGGCAGGCTGATGCTGAGGCAGGCTGAGATTCCCGGGTTATTTTTTGAATGTGAGGAGCCAACTGTAGCCCACTTCGTGTTCTTCGGTTTCCCAGAACACACCTCGGGCTCCCCGCCGTCAAGGCGCAACTCCCCCCTGGGGTTCAGGAGGAGTCGGGGGGGGAACGGGTGGGAGGAGCAGGGGGGCGTGCAGGAGGAGGGGGAGGAGGAGGACGAGCAGGAGGAGGACGAGGACGAGCAGGAGGAGGAGGAGGAGGATGAGGAGGAGCAGGAAAAGGAGGACGAGCCGGAGCAGGAGGAGGACGAGGAGGGGGAGGAGGACGAGCACGAGGAGGAGGACGACCAGGAGGAGGAGGACGACCAGGAGGAGGAGGAGGAGGACGAGGGGAGGGCGGCCGGCTGCCCCGGCCGGCTGCCCCGGCCGGTCGCCGCGCAGCCATTTCGGCCTTCGGAGGAGGAGGCGGGGGAGGAGGGGGAGGACGAGGGGGGGGCGCTTCGGCTCGGTGCGTTCTGACCACCTCAGCAAATCTCTGGGGCGCCCCCCCCCGCCGCGAGAAGCGGCGGGGGGGGGCGCCCCAGAGTGGGCGAGAGAAGCACGAGTGGAGGCGTCAGCCTGCACTCGTGTGTAGCCGTGGGTAGTGAGATACGGGGCGCCTCAGTCTGCATCCTGCATGCAGTTTTGCTGCTGTGCAAACGATGGTACAGACCAACGCAGTAGGGAGAGAATGCAGAGCGATGAAAACTCGGATACAGACACGCCTTGCAGCGCCTGCATGTTACTACTGGTGCTACTAGTACTAGTACTAGTGCTACTACTACTACTACTACTACTACTACTACTACTACTACTACTACTACTACTACTACTACTACTACTACTACTACTACTACTACTACTACTACTACTACTACTACTACTACTACTACTACTACTACTACTACTACTACTACTACTACTACTACTACTACTACTACTACTACTACTACTACTACGACTACTACGACTACCACCACTACTACCACCACTACCACCACCCACCACCACCACCACCACCACCACCACCACCACTACTACTACTACTACTACTACTACTACTACTACTACTACTACTACTACTACTACTACTACTACTACTACTACTACTACTACTACTACACTACTACTACTACTACTACTACTACTACTACTACTACTACTACTACTACTACTACTACTACTACTACTACTACTACTACTACTACTACTACTACTACTCTACTGCTACTGCTACTGCTACTGCTACTGCTACTGCTACTGCTACTGCTACTGCTACTGCTACTGCTACTGCTACTACTACTGCTACTGCTACTGCTACTGCTACTGCTACTACTACTACTACTACTACTACTACTACTACTACTACTACTACTACTACTACTACTACTACTACTAGGCAGAGGCTGAGGCTGAGGCAGGCTGAGGCTGAGGCTGAGGCAGGCTGAGGCTGAGGCAGGCTGAGGCTGAGGCTGCGACTGCGACTGCCGTTGCCACTGCAACTGCCATTGCGATTGCGACTGCGATTACACCAGAATTCTACAACAGGACTCCTACATGAATCTCAAGGGCAATGCTTCCAGATATGCTTCTACACATCGCTGTTAGGTTGCTTTGCCGGGATAATTAACTAACTATTTTTGAATATTCCCCCTCTAGAGGGACAGGCCCGACTTAACACTAAAATGATCCCTCATTTCTTCTTCTTCTTCTTCTTCTTCTTCTTCCTTCGACCTCATAGCAAACATTAGGAAGTCATAGGGGAACCAACTGCTCAATTGTAAACCCTTGATTTGTGTCTCCTGGGGGAGTGCTCTTCGGGTCCCCTGGGCTCGTCTGGAGGGCCGCTTGGGCCGTTTTGAGCCGTCTTGGGGATGTTCGAGCTGCCCTTGGGCCCTGTGGGGCCGCTCTCGTCGCTTATTCGTGCCCCCGCGGAGGTGTTTTGAGAGGCCACTCGGAGGCCAGAAATCCGAGAGGCCGTGCTGGCTCGGGGTTTGGGCCCCCAGGCACACCAGCAATATCATATACTCACCCCTGAAGCTGATCGTGCCCCACAGGGAGCTCCAGCGACGGTCCCAGACAAGGTTCGCACTCCGCCGCTCCGCCCAAATTCGGCACCCCCTTCATGCGGATCGTGGGAGTTCCGCGTGCGGCTGGACTGGGAAGACTCTCATGGCGTCACCACGCGTATTTCGACTTCCCCCTCCAACAGATCGTGTCCCACAGTGAGCTCGACTTACGGCCCTGGAGAGAAGGTTCACATGGCGCCCTCCCGACCATTGGAGGAGGAGGAGTGCCCCTGCGATCATCATGATGGCCCGCCTGCGGCGTCATCGACCCCAGCTGCATCACGGCTATCTGCGGCACCATCATACTGCGTATCGTTTAACCGATCCCCATCCCCAGCGACATGGCCTGGGCCCCACTGGCCGATTTCCCCCCCTCTAGATGGGGATATAGGTCGTTATCTTCGGGTTTCGAGGGGCGTATCCCCAACTGGGGTGGTAATTCAGTGGGGGTCTCGAAGGGGATGAGGATGGGGATGGGGGTCGGATAAACGATGCTGACATATCCTGCATATCTTCAAGGTCAAGAGGCTCCTAAAAGTTGTGTTTGAAAATGCGGGACGGATCACCCCCCGTGCCCCGCTCACTTGTGCGCGCCGCCGGCACCCAGTGAAGAGAACATGGCTTGCCCCATCTGGGCCAATTGCACGTCGGGGATGCAACGAGGGGAGCAAAGGACAAGGATTTTGATCAGCGGTCGTGTCCGCGGTTTGGGGGCGCAGCGCGCAGAAGCACTAGGGGATCACTCCCTCCTCCTAAAATAATGCTGGGCGCGCGGCAGGCCTGAGCGCTAGAGGCTCCACCTCACGCGCCGCGCCCCCCCCTCCGCCAAAATCCGCTCAAAGTGGGTCCCTGGATTCCTCCCAAGGTCCACAATGCACCAGTTTTCGGAGCTGCGTCCAACCGTGGCGACGACTCTGGGGGCCCGTTTGGACCGTCTTGGGCGCCTCTTGGATCGTCTTGGGGCCCTCTTGTACCGTCTAGGCGCCCTCTTGGGGCCTCTTGGGCCTTCTTG